GGAAGAGGAAGGCAATGGAATGACCAAGGCCAGGGGTACCAAGGCCAAGGGAGTCAAGGCCAGGGGTACCAAGGCCAAGGGAGTCAAGACCAGGGGTGCCAAGGCCAAGGGAGTCAAGGCCAGGGGTACCTAGGCCAGGGCTATCAAGGCCGGGGGGATCAGGGAAGTCAGGGGTATGGAAGACCCCGCTTTGACTGGAGGACGGTCATCTGTCAACATTGTGACCAGCAGGGCCACACTATAAGGTTCTGTAATATAAGACGGGAAGACGAGAGGAGCGGACTGATTTCCTCTACTATGGATGGGAATATCTACGATCAGTTTGGGGAGGCCATTGACAGAAGGCTTGGAAGGGTGAGGGCTGAAGCCCAACGAAGAGCGGCAGCGGGGCCACCGCCCCCTGCCATGTTCAGGCTATGGCAGGAAAAGGAGAAACCACCGTTTGGGGTGGAAGAAGTGGGGAGCGATGAGGAAGTGACTCAAGGGCTGCGAGGAGGAAGTGAGACGGAAGAGGCCATAATCATCGAGTCAGATGACGAGGATGAAGAGGAAAGAACGGAGCCTCTGTTCGTCTTATTTGAGAAGATGAAGGACTTGCTGGATAAGATGGGGAGGTACCAACAAAAGTTGGTAGGCCTCTGTGAAGGAGTGAAAGGATGGAAGTCTAATGTCCCCACAGTATTCCTCTATGACTCCTGCCCGGAGTCAGCGCCTGGGCGACCCGGAGTAAATGTGGTGGGATCGTGCCCTCAACCAGGAATGAGGGGGAGACCCCTCACTCCGCAGGCCCGGCTGGCACAAGCAGCGCGAACGAGGAATCAAGCCAAGGCCAGTACCAGCCAAGAGCCTCCAAGGRGGGAACACGAACMAGGGARAAGGAAAGAGGCTGTGGAAGTAGAGGACGACGATGATGAAGAGGAAGAGGACGAGAGGCTGCGCAGAGAAGAGGATCAGAGAGCGGAGCAGCGGGCACGGAAAAAGGGAACCAGGGGAGAGGTCGAACCGGTCATACATGACGGACCGCCTAAAAAGAAAAAATACGCGGTCCGGTTGGAAGAGGGATTTGATGTAGAGAAGGTGATTAACCGACTGCTGGAAGGGCATAATGACCTCATGACCCTGAAGGAAATCCTAGCGTCAGCCCCGCGACTCCGCGATGAACTGAAGGGGAGGTTATCACGGCGCCTGGTGCCCAATGTCCATCTGGGTACGATCCTGCCCAAGGAGGCAGAGTGGGCARAGTCAGGTACGAAGATGGACTGGAAGTGCGTAGCCTGTGGTACGGTGGATTTGATGGTGAAGGGTTCCAAGTGCGCATCAATGGTGGACACCGGGGCAGAGATGAACATTATTCGGGAGGCGGACGCGATCAGATTCGGGCTGGATATAGACCGTTCTGACTGCGGTATTCTGCATGGAGCCAGCTGTAAGGCCATGTTTTGCGGGACAGCCTCGAATGTGCTCGTCGAGGTTGGAAAGGTGAAGGCCAGGGCATGCTTCTTCATAATGCCAGACGTGGACCACGGAATCCTCCTGGGGAGGTCGTTCATAAGCAGGACAGAGACCGTGATGTTCAACAAACATGATGGGACGTTGATCCTCCTCTCATGCAATCCTGCCTGCGAAAATTATGAAATAATTACTTGCAGGAACACCGAGCCAATGAGTATAAGGAACTGGCCCAATCCAGGATCATTCACAATCGAGGAGTCGGAAGGGGAGCGAAGGAGGCTCTGGGCAGAGCCCGAAGCAGGAGAGGGGGTGAAAGCATTTTCTCTCAGCCTGTCAGATGTTGGGAAGGCCATGAACCTGGTGGCCGCGCATGAGATGGCAGATCCGGATGCCATCCAGGCCTTAAGGGAACAAGTTATAGAATGCCCTGAGGCAGGAAGGTTGGAATTGGTATATCGGCTCCCAGGCAGTGGAGGGAACCCCGCATCAGCGCAAACACAATCTGTGAGTCGGCCATTTTTAGGGGACGGCTCAAGCAGGGTTCCCAAAGGCGGTACAAGATGGTAGACAAGAAGTGCCGCCCGGTACCCGTCCTCGTTACAGAGGACGAGGAAGCATATTACGAGAGGGARCGAGGGTTGATTCGACGAATGAGGGAAAATGCTTTAGCAGGGCCATGTCGTATCAACGAAGGGAACGAGAAGGAGTTGATCATAGGGGAGTCTGATTTCCTGCTGCCTCAGGAGCGAACGCTGATGGTGGAATTAATGAAGAGGAAGCATCGCGCCTACGCGTTTAGTGACGAGGAGCGTGGC